GTTGAACAAACTGCGGCCGACCCGTGGAACCGCAAAGCGGTGCAAAGCTCCGCAAAGAGCAAACGATTTCTCACCTTTCACGACCGCCCACCGCTAGCCCACCGCTAGCCCACCGCAAGCCACGGCCTGGCCACGCACACATCGCGCCCAGTTTGCTCGCCTGCACCAATCGGGGGACCGCGCAGAGCTCCGTCTTCGTCGCTCTGTTTCTCTCACACTCGTGGGGCGCCCCGGGTGGTACTACCGCATGCGAATACCCGTCGAGGAAAAAAAATGAGAAAGAAAGTCCTTCTTTGTCGCACTTGATGGGATTTCCGCATTGGTGCGAGAGAGAGAGAGACGACAAAGAGGCCCTGTGTGCTGATTATTCGCCACCGGACCGAGGGGACCAACATGCCGCACTTGATGAGCGAGCCACACAGTGGTTCCGATGTCCCTCTCGCGCCCACACGCGACGCCCGCGAGTGCGAGAGAGACAGAGCGCTCGGAATGACTCTGCGAGAAAGTCTCGCCTGAGAAGGCGGTGATGCGCCCGCCGGTCCCTTCCCTTCCCCGCCAGGCCGGCCAGGCCGTCTTGCTCCTGTTCGGTGATGAAGATGATAATTTCCCGCGCTGCGCTTGTACAGTCATCCGGCCTGATCGTTATCGACGTTATTATCGCGCGGATCCGCGAGGATCGACCCCGTGGGAATGCACCCCCACTCCCCCTCCCCCGGCCAGGCATACGCCACGAAAGTTTGCGTGTCGGGGTCACCGCCGGCCAGGCCAACACCAACTTGTTTTACCGCGCAAACGGCGGCAGGTAGCCTAGCTGCGTTATGGGTCCAGCAGCTTTGGTTGTGAATTGAAAATTTAGTGGTGTGGTAGCCTAAAAATTGCATTTCTGGAACCGATGTAATTGTTTATAGTGCAGATCACTTCCATTGCCGGTTCAGGATGCGCCGCTGAGCCCAGCTTGCCGCGGCGCGGGTCACGCGCGGGTCGGAGGGCTCTGCGCTTATTAAGTCATGCTGAAACGTGATCCACTGCCGCCATGCCGTCGCCATGCCGCGCACCCCGAGGAGGAAGCTCCCAGCCCGGTCACACCGTTCGCGCCCTTAAGACCCGCGGGACCGCGTCGGCCTTCCCCGTGCCCCGGCCCCACTGGGCCCCACCGGGCCCCACCGGGCCCCACCGGGCCCCACCCCCCGGCGTCACGCCCCAGGGCCCCAGGGGGGCTTGCCAGCAGGCGCACTCCGAACACTCGTCACTCTGTCTCTCTCGCACTCGAAGGGGGCCCCGCAGGGGTGCGAGAGAGACAGAGTGACGACGCACTCTCCGGCATCAGCCCGCAGGGGCCGTGCAGGTCGCGGCCCAGTAGTCCGGCCAGCCAATTGACAAGGCTGACCCCCCCCCCCCTTTTCCTGGCCGGCCTGACCTGCTGGCTGGACACTCGATACACGAAGCAGTGGGGTGTTTTCAGGCACGCCGTATCAAATGGGCCGAAGATACGGCATTGTGACGTCACCGCCTCGCAACACGACTTGCACGTTAGGGCGCCGCGCGTTCGAACACAGCTTTAACTGCGCCTTAATGGCGCGCGCTAAACAGAGGGGTCAGAGGGCCGGTCAAGGAAAAACTACTTTTATGTCAGCTTTCGGGCCGGGCGACCTCAATAATCATCTGGTTGGAAATTGTGTTGCTTTGCTTTGAGGCTTTAATGTTTGATGCTTTAATGCTACGAATGTTCAATGGAAGAAAAAAAGTTGGAATTCCAACTTCTCAATGGACGATACCTTTTTCCTTGAAATTCGTAGAAAAGTGCAAGACAATTTAAAAATTGAAAAAAAAAAACTAAAAAAAAACCATTGATGTTTATTGACCTCTCCACCGCGTAAATTTTGAGTTTCCTCCTGACGGTCACGTTACTTTATTCATCCCGGAAAAGCGACAGCCAGCAAAAATAAAAAAAAAAAAACGAAAAAGAAAGAACTTATCTGGATGTCATTAATTTTTAATTCGGCATTAAGGGATGCGTTGCGCGGGGCGCGCGTGTGCAGGCCATAAGTCTCGGTTCATCTCCGATGCACGCGTTCGTCGTAAAGTCCGGGAAGCAATCTGAATCAAGGACACGTCTCGGTGGAGTGACGGCCCAAACCGTCATCATTGCGTCACGGAGGAATGGTAAGGGGATGCGTCGTCCCGATACCGAGATGATGATCTAGCCGCGGCAACACCCTCCCTCACATGCATCACCCGACGAATGCCACGAGTCGCATTAGAAGATCTGAACATGCGCGCGACAGCAGTGGGCGGTACTCAGTGAGAACCATTTCGATTTCAATCAAGTGCTGCGGCAAGGGTGGTAAAAGCCAAATGTCTGAAAACCGGTCGTTTGGGCGACTAATTGCCGTCGAAGGCCTCTCTTTAACACCAACCCGTTGGGAGTGCGATTTTCCGGCCTACATCGAACACAGTGGCCTTCCCTAGTCCGGCCTCAACACGATTCAGAAAACAACCTCCACTCCAAAAAATAAAGTCTCTATTTATCGCGGCGCGCTGAGGGAGTGTCGTCCGGACGATATTTGCAGGGCGCTGGCTGTGCGAATAAGGCGACAGCCTGGGAAGGGCAGACGCGGCGGGACGCTGCTGCACCGCTACACGCGTATCCGCGTCACTCCACGCAAGGGAGTCGCCGGGACACATCTGGTCGACCTTTTCCGCGCCTTTCCGCCTGCCTCACTGCCGTTCTTTCACTCGCACGCAACCCACGTAATGAATGAAGTCCCGTCGATCAGTCAGGGTCCTACACTAGTAAACAAGTCTTTTTTTTAAAAATTTTTCGTCTTATTGTAAGCTGTGCACTTTCCAAAAAGTGGAACAAAATTTTCCTAGTTGACTTTTTTTTGAAAAGAGGAATTTTTAATGAAATGTTACTAATTAAAATAATGAAAATTTACAAAGTTTTAGGTGTGTTGGCCACTAAGTTACATACAAAAAAAAAATCAATTGAAAGTCAGTAAATAATCCTCGACGACAGGCCGTGGGCTGCAACATGCTCAGCCCGGAGGCGGTCTGCGAATAGACAGACGAAGAAGCATTGGGCGGCGCGAAAGTCCCCGCGGCTGATCTTTCCATTGGCGTGGGATTATTGTGTGGTGTCGGGCCGCAGGGCCGGCAGGGCGATGTAACGACCGCTGGACTTCCTTTCGATCGAGATTTGGGACGGACCAGCGAGCCCGCCCCAGCGGCCCGGCAGCGGGTTGGCTCCGAGCGACTCGCGCTCCGTCGCTCCGTCTCGCTCGCACGCCAAAGGGACGCCTCCACGAGTGCGAGGGAGACAGCGGCTGCTTGCAGCACGGCGGCACGGCCTCGTCATGGCCGCGGATTGATGGAGTCGTCTCGGAGCCAACACGCCACGCCACGCCACGCCACGCCACGCCACGCCACGCCACGCCACGCCACGCCACGCCACGCACGCTGCACAGCAAGTCCGGCCCACGGCGAGCCGAATCTAATGCCCGCCAAAATAGAGGCACAAAACGGTCCAAAAACTTTAAAGCCACCAAGCAGAATTCTTAAAAAAAAAAAAGGTTTTAAAAATTACTGCTGTAAATGTTTCAGTTAACCAGCAGCGCAGAACTTGAAGTTCTTTTCAGTTAAATTTTTGATTGGGAATGTTCTAGTTAGTTTGGATGTCACTTTTTGAAAACAACCCATAAATGTTTCTGCGCATCGTGTTCAAAAGAAACGCCGAGAAAAAAAAACACACAGACACACGCGACACGTGTGCGCGCACTCGCGCTGCCTCCACTGCAACATCTCCACTATGTCTGCTCCTTTTTTTCCTGGTCAGGTTACTCCGAAATTAAGAGGGTTTCGCGCGCCGCGAGTCGGAATGCAGCCCTGCCTGTTGCACGGCGAGGCGCGGAGGCACGCCGACGGTCGTCCGAACGGTGCTCTGTCTCTCTCGCACCCCGTCGCGACGCCCCCCGAGTGCGAGAGAGACGGCGCTCTGTTCGGAGTCGTCCTGCTGGGGCCACAGGCCGCGTGCTACCGCCGCGTGCGGTGCGGTTCCAGGTCTGCAGGGCAGGCCGGGGCGGGCCGGGGCGGGCCGGGGTCAAACCGTGGCTATTAGGACACGCTACCACCTGGGCGGCCGTTCACGCACACCACATACGCCGCGTTGCACTACAGACAGAAAAAAAAATCAAAAAAAAAAGAAAAACTGTTTCACCGAGAGCGCAAGATTTTCTAGATTGGCTTTCAGGCTGGGCTCCTTAGGTTAGCTAACCGAGATTTCAGACACTACTTGTTAGGGCCGCCTTGACCGTGGCGTGCTTGCCTCTCCCAGCGCGCTGCAGTGGTCGGGATGGAAGCTAAGCTAATCCGCTCGTTTATAGCCCGTGGGACCTACACTGACCCGGCCAGGGAATAACGCACGGCAACATAGCGGCGCCGTTTCGGCAACAAGATTCGAGTAACGCGGAAAAGAACGAGCACTTGGTAGTGATAGCACATGATTGCGCGTGGCATTGTGTGTGAGTGTGTCGGTGTGTCGGTGCGTGCGTGTGTGCGCTTCACATGCAGCCTGGGCGGTACCGCCAAACACTTGGGTTACGTTCACAGTGATTGTGGTTACGGTAGCCAATGACCTTTCCGCGCACTCCTGACTCACCTCGACAAGAGCGTCGCCGTGGACGCGGCCAGGACGACGCGCTCGGCGCGAGCAGCGCAACGTGGACATGGACAACGCACGTGATACGGGTGTGCTTGCAAAAGACGGGGGAGGGTGAATTTCGACCAAAAGTCGGGTGCCAAGCAGTTGGAGCTATCAAGTTGCAGAGGACGAGTACAATGGGACACTGTACGACATGGGACGAGTGCAATACCCGAAAGCGTCAGCAGTGCAGTGTGCAGTACTCAGTTCACAAATTTTCAGTGCGTGTAAAGTTTGGGTTTCAAGTTGCCTCTTCTTTTAGGAAAAAAAAATCCTGAAAGGTTATTAAACGGTTACTCACCGGCTGCCAGCAGGAAGAAAACAAATTCCCTCATTGTGTCATCCAGTCGACCGCTGCAGCTGGAACAGAGAGAGACTCGCATGAAAAATGGCAACGGAGAGGTGTCGCTGGGGCACATGAGGTGAGGCGCCACTTTTACGGGACCAGCAATACCCGGCCCGACCCGGCCCGACCCGGCCGGCATTTCGACCGAGGACGGTGAGCCGCTTTCAACTCGACGTGTTGACACCCTCACACCCACGCCACAGACTCGTTCGCGTACTCATGACTTTATGTCACTTTTTAAAAATAGCACGTACATCGTAGTTCTTGGCATCCTGCACTTTTAAAATGAGCACTTTTATAAAAATGCGCTTAAAGAAAACCCACATAAGCATAGGCATTTGAGTAGATTACCATCTCTTCCTTTGGATCTTTTTCTCCTTTTTTTTCTCAAGTTCGTGGCTTTGCTATTCTGACGTTTCTCCCCTTTCGGTTCTTTCCTCACGGTTCGCAGTGTTGCCCCACCGGGCGGCATTAATGGCTTCATTTACACCCCAACCTGAGTCCGTTCCACATACAATCGTGCCTGTCGTCGTCTGAGTTGCCACTTGCCACGCCACGCCTCGCGGCTCACGTGTCACAAGCCGGGCGACATGGCTGACCTATCTCAAGCAACGCTGTTCCCAGAAGCGGGGCGACGGCGCACGATTCGAGTCTGCCGGGCGTTTGCTGAAAAAGAATGGCTTCGCACGGGGAAACGGCTAAAAACGCCTCAGCCCTTTTATGCATGCTACACAGGTACAACACAGTGCAGCTGCTCTGTCGTGGCTGAGCACGCCTAGAGATGCCACGGTTGAGGATGGACCCAGAGGTCCCAGGTTCGAAGCCCTGTGGCGCCACTGATTTATCAAAATTCTTTTAAAACTCATTCACAGACATTATTGATCTTACAGATGTCACATTTAAGCATTGCCTTAAAATTAACTTTTTATCCCGTTTTTCCTTTCTCCCTCTCGCTAATGAATGCAAAAGAGGCAGAAAACACGGTGTCTGGTGCGCGCCACTGTAAACACGGATGAGGTCAACGGGGCAACGATGCGACACAGGAAGTGGGGGCGCTACACGCTGGCAAGCACTTCCAATTGCCTCGAGGCGCAGCAAAGCGAGGCAGGCAGGGCCCGCCATCGGCACGAGCTAAATAATTTCATGATTACACCCGACCTTTCTTTCTTTTTCCACTTTTATACACAAACTGTTTTTTCCTTTTCTAAATTTTATCGACAGTAGAAGTTTGATGACACTTGAGACAGATCCGCGATTTTGGCGCGTGAAACGCCGTTTCCGTAAAGAATGAATCCCTGATCTTTTTTCTTGTTCCTCGCAAGAACGAGAAAAACTGAACCGTTCCTTTTTTCTGTCGCTGTGGAGTTTGCAATTAATTACTCATGGTGTGACTCCCCGTCCAGTGCCCCCCCCCCCCTCTCTGGAACGCCACGCCGCGCCATGCATGCGACGAAGTGCGACACAACACAGCCAAGCGAAACGGAACCGCCGAGTCGTGAGTTCGGAATAAAAGCTCTTACGCAATTTGCGGCGGGGAGCGATGGCACAGCGAGGTGCCGAATTCACACTACTCTTTCAAGAGAAGGTTTTTTTTGTTTAAAAAAAATGAAATGCATAATGAGAGTCTACTGGAAGAGGTCCGTTTCCTAAACAAATGTAAGGAAGGTCGAAAATTAATTAAATTAAATTTGGTGAAGCGGAGGGGTTAGCTCATGTTCGACATCTTCAAAATTGTTCCGGTTTAAAGTTTATTTTTCAGGTAACTTTTCTGAAAAAGTATGAAGCGATACAAGCTCATTCCAAAATGAAAGTTGCAAATTGTAAAACTGACCGCACACACTTGCAGCGCAGGGGGCACGCTTTGTCTTTTCCAATCCGTGCTGCTAATTGATGTCCCCGCCGGCACGCGGCACGCGGCACGCACCGAGTCCCGAGTGCCAGTCTCCCAGGCGCTGACGCTGGCTGACGCGCTGTCGGGCCGAGGCCGGCCAGGCCGGCGAGGCTGCCATTGTTGGGGTGGTCCGGGTCTTCCGGAAGGATCGGCCGACAGCCGCGGTCCGCCCCTGCAGCCGCTGCAGCCGCTGCAGCCGCTGGGGCCCTGGCCCGGCCACGTAATCCCACGTAATGTAGCGGCCTGTTATTAAATCGAGATCCGCTCTTTAAGTCCGATTAGCTTCCCTTTCCGACTAACTGGAGTAACTGGACGAACCGATGCAGCCGCGCCGCTGCAGCAGCACCTCCACACCTCCGCCTGCCTGCACAGGGCCCTGGACCCCACGGTGGGCCAGCGCAGGCGGCCGAAACTCTAGACGCGTTTTGAGCTCCAGACTCGCAAAACAGGACTCAAACCGAACGTGTGACCCCAGCAATGGATTGCTCTCCGCACGAGGAATCCATTGGTGGGGTCACACGTTCAGTTCCAGGCCTATTTAGGGACTCTGGAGCTCAAAACGCGGCAAGATTTTTGTCCGCCTGCGCCGGTCTTGGCCCACGTCCATGTGGTGTCGGCTCGTACAAGCACCTCCTCTCCACGGCGGCGAGGGTGGCGGTCGGCGCGGCTTTTGAGGTAATTGCAGGCACAGCGCGCCACCTACCGGCGCGGTCGTGAACGTCGTAAACGTCGTCCTCGTAAGTTGCGAACGCACTCGGTCGCCGCGAGCATGCGGCAGGCCAACGGCAGGCCAACGGCAGGCCGCGCCGCAGCCCGCTATCCGTCACCCGGCGGCCGCGCGTGCTGGCTGGGCACCGTGAGGCACGCCGCCAGGCACGCCGCCGCGCTCGTCCCGGACGGTCCCGGACGCCGAGTGCTGGGGCAGGGCAGGGCTGCCTCCGAACGGCACCCTCGTCGCTCTGTCTCTCTCGCACACCCTCGGGACGCCCCTCGAGTGCGACAGAGACAGAGCAGCGACTGTTTGAGAGCAGCCCGCGGGGGGTCGGCAGGCGGGAGCGGCAGACGGTCCCGCTGACCCGGAGCAGAGCGGAGCCAAGCCGGAGCAGCCGCGTCTTATCTGACTTGTGGGCGCATTGCCTTGATTTAATGCGTTCGCCGCTCTGCCTGCCTGCCTGCCTGCCTGCCTGCCGGGCCGCATCGCGGACGGTGTCGCGGCGTCGCGGCGGCCTGATGGCGTTGGTTACGTCCTCGCGAGTAATGCCACTCGCTTCGGAAGTGCCCGCCTGTGCGGCGCGGCGCGGCGCCAGCAAACACAGTGGAGGGGAAGGACTGGAAGAAAGAAGCGGAAAAAAAGAGGAGTGCAGAAGAAGGCGCGGGTTCATCCAGGGGATGAAAGGGAGGAGGACGTCGACGGGCAGGGAGAGGAAGAGGAGGTGCACGGGGAGGCGGACGACGAGGGGAACAAGATAGATTGCCTGCGACCGCAACCCGCGGCGCGCGCGCGACAGCGTCACCGTTACTGCGTAATTTGGGACCCCGATGCGCATCTATATCGCATCCACACGACGCCGGCGTCGCGACGCCCCGCGCCGCGTCCCGCCACTGCAGCAGGCGGCAGCGCGGCAGCCGCAGGATTGACGAACCGCAATTATTATCCGGAGAAAACCCCTGCCGTGGCGTGGCGCGCCGCGCCGTGCCGCGCGCGTCCAATGACGTAATCCGATCCGCATTCGAATTTCGCGCCCTTCGGCCGGGATGAGAAATAACGCGCTGCGCGGGCTGCGCGGGCTGCGCGTCAGGCGCGGCGCGCTTTGCGGCTTTCCCAGTGACAGCGCTGTGTGCGCGCGGTGCACGCGGTGCACGTGCACTGCAAAACGGGGCCGCTTAACACGCTGTGCGTCCAGATATGCAAATGAGCAGGGCGTGAACTGGCCGCATGGGTGTTGACGGCGCGGCCAAGGCGCGGCCGCCCTTCCAGGCCCGCCACGCCGCGGCGTTCCCACGCGGTCGCGGGGCGGGGCGGGGCCTGCGAGCGCCGTGGGGGCTCTCCGTCGCCAAGAGACCGTCTACTTCCGAATGCGCCCTGGCGGAGCCCCGGCGGGTTGATTCCGAACCGGATGCTCCTCTCTCTCTCTCAGCCCTACGGGACGTCCCGCGAGCGCGAGGGAGACACAGCGACCAGTGTTCGGACCCAGTCCGCCGGCGGTGTAGCGCTGCCCGCTAGTTCCCCTCTGGTTCCTGCTCGGCCTTCCGACCCTAGGGCCTCCTTGGCCCCCTTGGCCCCCTTGGGGGCGGCGGGCTGCAGCGGGTTGCGTGACCGTAGCGCAGTCAGCGCAGTCGTTTCCAGGCGAGAGGACCCCGAGGCCGCCGCCAGCGCCGCCAGCGACTCCGGCGGGTCAGGGCGCCGCCGGCCCGGCCTCGCCAGCCTTGTGGCACCTTGTGGCGCCTTGGCGCCTTGCGAGGCGTGTTCACACGTTCGACGTGGCCGATCAGGGGCGCCGAGAGTCGGCCGTCGGCGGGCATACCCGCCAAGCCCGCTTCGTTCAAAAAACCCGCAGTTTGTTTTTCGCACGCAGACCGACCAAGCCAAAATTCGAACAGTGGGTTTTCCACCCCAGTCCGCATCGTGGAAACAAACATTAACAGTGTCCTCGGACCGGCCGCGCCGCGCATGTCAAGCAGCGTCGGTTGCACCGCGAACCTCGGCCTGGCCGGCCGGCCCCTCGCCGCGCTGGCTGCGCAGTCGGACCGTTTAATTTCGGCCACGTTCTCGGCCAGATAAGCAGTCGTGCGCCCAGCGGGCCAGCAGGCCAGCGCCGGGTCGAGCTGCCCCAGGCCTTGGCATCTGTGCGGGTGGCGCCGCCGCGTCCGTCTGTCCGTCCGTGCGTCTGTCCGTGCGAGCGTGCGTGCGTGCGGGGCGGTGGCACCGCCGCGCGCATGAAAAGAGCCCCGTTGTTGCGACACGGACTAAATGGAGTCGGATGAAAGATTCTAAGGCGCGCGACACGCCGCGCCGCCGCACGTTGCGAAGGCGTGGCGCTCGTCAAGACACTTACCTCCAGCACCGGCGTCGAACGGCGCACCCGGCGCGGTCACCTGTGACAAGAGAGGCACTGCGTCATCACCCAGGCGTTTACTCATCGGCACGGGACGAGGAAGGATGAATGGAGGAGTGCTCGGTCGCAAGGAGTGCTCGGTCGCAAGGAGTGCTCGGTCGCAAGGAGTGCTCGGTCGCAAGGAGTGCTCGGTCGCAAGGAGTGCTCGGTCACAAGGAGTGCTCGGTCGCAAGGAGTGCTCGGTCACAAGGAGTGCTCGTAGGCCAAAAGTTTAGAAGAAATGTAAACCAAACTGCGTTTTATTTTCTCCTTAAGTATGACAAGGAAATAGTCAACAAGCGAGCAAGAAAAGAAGCAGCCCATTGTGCTTGAACTAAGTACTGTTAGTCTTTTTTTTTGCTCTGGTTGAACGGCCCGACTACACGCGTGCACTAAAACGGCACTCTTTGACGTGGCTGACTAATTTGCAAGAGCGCGCTTGCGCCGCGTGTGGGCCCGGCCCGGCCCGGCCCGGTTGCAGTGGAGGCACCAACGGCGCAACACGATTGGCCCGTCAGTCAGCGCGACAAAGAGGGCACACACGCGCCGCTTGCTGCAATTGCATTTGTCCGTTCGGGAAATAGGCCGGGCCAGCTCGTGCTAGGAAGATTCAATCGGGTCACTCACTGCTGTCACTTCAAGTCAAAATGGTCCCAATCTTGACGTCGAAAATGGACGCCACTCTGGCACGAAATTGACTCTTCCTCCTCAGACAACATGCAATTGATATTCGAAGGCTACCCGCACGTTCCAATGAAGCCCTAGAACACACGAGCTCCGCTGAGAGCCAGCCGTCGGCAAGGGCGACATCATTGTCGTTTTTGTTTCCACCTTTTTGACGGTGCACTGCTCCCAGCGTGGCGCTGCGCGGGCTGGCCACTGAAGGATGAAGGCTGCACGCGAGGCGAGCACACAATTTGACACAATCAGCGGCACGCGTGCGGCACGCGCGCGCTTCGTCAACGCCGTGTGAAAAATGCATAACGAGGTGGCCGGGCCGGGCTGCCCGAAAATATGGAAGGCAAGTGAAACAGTAAGAAAGGTAAAAACTAACGGTGAGAAACGCTATGAGCTGGTGGTCGAGGTTGGGCGTGGCTTCGCGCTGTCGGGCCTCGTGACCCCCAGTGCGGGGGACACGGACTCGTCGCGCTGACCACCGCCTTGCCGCTTCAGCGGAGCGGCGAGCGACGACACACACTTGGCGCTCCCGTTCGGGCAGAAGGGTCGCGGTTCCTTCCTGGCGCGGCCGGTCGTCAGTTTGAGGGCGCATTGTTCTGCCGCAAAGCAGCTGTTTCGTAAATCCGATGCTATCTGCCTTTTCTCATGCCGGCCGGACAGGCCGTCGCGAGACGACCCCAGCCGGGGCTCCGGCCGGGCCGCGCCAGGGGCCCCGCCAGACGCCCAGAGTGAGAGGGGACGGAGCTCCCCACCGAGCAACTACTCACTTCATCCATTTCGTGTCGTACTCGCGCCCAATCTCACACATCCAAATCATCGACATCTGAAAGCACCTCCACGAAATCCCATCGAGAAGTCTTACAGTCTTCTGTTTTCAGAAACGAATGCTCAGTTAGTTCGCAAGTTCAAATTAAAAGTCTGGCAAGAGGCCTAAAAAATTACTACAAATTACTCGCGTTTTGCGATATAAATCGCCAACGCAGCACAGTGCAAGCCACCCATCGCCGTCACTCCTAAGCGTGAAATAATTAGCGTTTGGCCGAAATCCACAGCGGGGGACGCGGAACAGTGCACCTGTTTTGGCCGGCCAGCCTCCGGCCGCTGAAGCGAACGATAACCAGCGAGGCAGTGATCCTTATCGGGTGATGGATGAGCCGCGATTAAACGCTAATTAAAAGCGAATTAAACCGCCCTAGTTCGGCCGCCCGGTTGCTGCTGCTTGCAGGAGATGATGGAGGGTCCGATTGTTTTCTGTTGTCTCCTGCGATTTTTCGGTTTCGTTTCAAAACTGTGGCGCGTGAGCATGCGCAACGACTTCGGTCTTGAGTAAGTGCGGGCAATCATTTGGAAAGGTAAGGTGGCGGGTTGTTTCCGTTAATTTGAGAAAAGACACTACACGTGAATTCTTTTTAGGTTAGGTTGGGTTAGGTTAGGTTAGGTTGGCGTAAAATGTCTCGCGACGGTGCCCATTTCGACGATGCAAGTTTGCGGCGTTTCCGCCGATGACGAATGGCGAGTGCGGTGCGAGTCTGCGGTGTGAGAGCGGACGCGACGACGCTTCCTGCACTCAGAGACAATCCCAGGCAAAATAGGAAGTAAGAGGGCCTCGCGTTCCGTCCGGCTGGGGAGCGGCACGCCGACGGCACGCTTACGCAGGGTGACCGCATCTTGACACGGACTGTACACCGAAAGGCGAAGAAAGAAAAGGTTCCGATCTAATTTTCTGTTCGCAGCGCTGGTGTTTCACTGCAGAAACTGTACCAGTTAGTTCGTTGTATCCTGTCAAGCACGCGCGAAACAGACTCCGTTCCTAAATTGCGCCCAAACCCGAGGCAGGTCTTCGCACCGCGACGCCGTTCACCGTTTCGGGAGGCGGCTGAATTTCTCCGCGTCGTCTGCTAGCGGCCCGGCCCGGCACAGCCCCAGCCGCCCCGCTGCTTTCTCATTACGAATCTAATATTACATCTGGAAGGCGGTGCTGGGGCTGCGAGGCGCGGCAATTACATTTTCGCGGCCCATCGTCTCCGCGGTTGAATAACAAACGATTTTAGGGTCGATAGGCGGAAAGGACAGTGTGCCGGAGGGAGGATGCTCTCGGTGGGACACGCCGCGAGGTGGTCGCCCCGCGCTGCTCACTGACCGGCCCTCCGGACGGTGTGAACTGAGCAGCTACACTGCCGAAAAGGCTGGAAAAGTCCCGCTCTCAATTTCTCCTTTCCATTTGGAGCCGGGAAGGCTTGCGAGGCGGCCCGCCCGGCCCTCGGGGTGCGTGGGAGCCGCGGCCCAGCGCTTCCGAAGGCTCGCGTCGCCGCCCTGTCTCCCTCGCTCCCCCGCGCGGTGACCCACGAGTGCGACGGAGACAGAGTGGCGGCCGTTTTGCCGTTTTCCAGTGCCGGAGCGCGAAAACGCTTCCAGGCGGGAAGAGGCGGCTGAGACTGCGGCGCTCTGACCCCACCCGCGCGTGCAGGTCTCCGCGCAGGCCAGAGCGTGTCACCGCAGCGCCGCCAGCGCGGCCAGGAAACGCTCGACTGCCCTGTTGACGGGTTAGACGTCCGAGCCCCTGCAGCGTGGACCGTGCCGCCGAACACCGGTGTCGTGCAGTGTAGCCCACCCTCTTCTCCGCAGGCGTTTAGCACATGACATCAGCGGCACTGCAGTTCCGAGGTCACTATGCCGCTTGCGAGATGGGCACCGAAAATTCGGAATGGCACTTTCGAGTCCCAAATGATCGTGCGGTAATTTGCAAGTCTTACACGCCACGTGACGTCATTTGGCGCGCGGCCATCTCCACGGCGGGCCCTGGGCCTCCGCGCCCCCCGCCCCGCCGCCCTGGCCCTCCGTGGGATACCTTCCACAATGGGCCGCCCATCCCTCACACGGCAGGCCCTTCTCCCTGGGGAGGGCCGTGGAAGGGCAGGGCGACGGGCAGCCCAGCCCACTAATGCGGTGCGCTGCCCTTAATTCGAGCGCGGAAGTCCAGCAGCACCGGCAGCGCCACTAGCGCACCGAGGAGGCCAAGACCCTCGGCTGGCACTCCGAAGGCCATGCCGAAGGCCACCACACGCTAAGCCACAACCTCCGCAGTTTTTTTCAAAATGTGAAAATTTGTTACCAAAAGAGGGAGGGGTTGCACCAAAAAAAATTGTTTCTTCATTTTTTATTTTCTAGGTTTTGTAGAAATATCTGACAGATTTTTTATCAAGAAAATGGATTAAAAAAATTCTTGCAAAAACCAAGAAAAGCAAAATTTTTCTTGATCCAAGAAGTTATTTTTTTGAGTGTGGTTCCAGGGGTTTTACAGCGCTAAAAAAATTATCCAGAGCCTCCTTTCTAGTCCTGAATTCTTATCTCCGAGTCTACGCCTAGTCGTGACCTATCTTAACCCGTGCACGGCTCGCTCTCAGCGCTCAGTCACAGGTGCGCGGCGGCGGAGCGGCCGCAGCGGACAGACCAGACGGAACTAACCGCGCCCCGCGTCCCGTCCCGCATCCTCCGCGGGCTGCTCGGTCCCACGCCGCAACGCGCCGCGACGCGACAGGCCGCCCGGTGATATCACAGTGGCGCGCCGCGAGAGCGCCGCCGGCCATCCCCCCTCTCTGTCCGTCTCGTTAGCGCACAGCCAGAGCGACGAGGACAGACGGTAGCGTTTTCACGCAGCCCCGGAAGAGCCACCGGGCCTAAGGCAAGACGCGCTGGACGGCCAAGCCGAGTTGCTGGCACTCTGTTAATCAGCAGCCCTGCGGTCAGGGTCGGTGTCGGCCCGCTCTCGCCCTGCAGCCTCACTCCGAACACTCTGTCTCTCTCGCGCCTGCGGGGCGCGCAAGGAGCGCGAGAGAGACAACCCCGCTGCGGTGGCGCGATTAAGTCCGAACCGGCGTCGCCACGCCCGTGCCTTGAGCCTCGAGCGCTATTCGGACTATTCGGCAGCGGAATTGGTTCCCGTTTCGAACGGTCGGAAGGCCTGAGCGACGGCAGCAGGGGAGCCATTAATGTTCGGAATGGCCGGCGGCCGAACGTGAGCAATGAAGTACTTAGCGGAGAGGTCGGCTGTTTATTTAGCAAAAAAAGCACAGCAGGGCGGATGATTACTAATGAAAATTAAAAGTGCACGCTTGTTTTACGAACAAATTCGTTTCTGAACCTTGGACAGCATTTTAAGTCTGACCAGGATCATACGATGATGACTTGGTTCGGATCCAATTGATACGATTACTGTTCCATCGTGTGCCCTCTGTGACCGGGGTTCGACTCCCGGTAGCCCCCTCCTCTCCTTTCCGCCTGGGCTGAGACCTTTCCCGGCAGATACGCTGCACCTGACACTGCGGCGCCGCGCAGCCGCACACCGGTTTCTGCGCGGCCAGCGGCGCCACTCGAAAAAAAAGCCGCTGACATAAATTGACGACTCTGGCCGGACGGTGCGGACGGCGTGCGCCTCGGCGTGCGCGGGTTCACGGGGGGCACGCTTTCCTCCACGCCGCAGCGCGCCGGGCCGGGCCGGGGACGTGAAGGCCGTCTCCGTCTCCCTCCCGCGCAGCGCGCAGTGGACGGGCCGGCCACGCCGTGGGAGCGACGGCGACAGAGAGTCGGTCTGGACGGACGCGGCGCGGAGCGGGTCCGGCAGAAAGTATGCACAGCAGGTTGAGGCAGGACACCCGCTCGCTCGCTCGCTGCGTGGCCGGCAGCACGCCACCGCGCGGGGCCGCGCCGTTGTGAATGCAGCGAGCCCAATTAAAAAAGCCACTCCGTGAGGCAGGTGGCCGCGCTTTTCGTAGCGCTGGTGCTGCGGGTCCAAAGTTGCCGGCACGCGAGCGAATCATTGTTTCCGAACTGGTGGCACTATCGCCTCAGCACGCAACCCGGACACTGCCGAAAACGATCTCGTTCGGTCGGACCGCAGAATGACCGCCGAATTTGCCTTCCGAAGGTTCTGCTGCGCCGCCTCCGCTCCACCGGTCATTCCTGGTCATTCCTCTCCCTCCATTCCGTTACGGCGATTCGATACTATCGAGATATCGTAAAGTAGTCGGCCGGTGCATCTCTCTGCTCTGGGCGAAAGTAGACGCGGTGTGGCACCTCATTCCATTGCTTTCTTTCCAGAAGGGCAGCGCAGCGCGTGTGGCCGAGCGACGCCGAGCGACGCCACTTTTCACGGAAAGGGCTGCAGTCGTTCCAGATTAAAATAAAAGCAGAAAGCGGCGAGTTCTTCTTTACCGGCTTGCTTGCCTCGCAGACCTTGATTGAACACTGAGACCAAGAATGAGACCACCATTTTTTTTTGTAACAAAAAAAAACTGATTGAGGCTTAATTTTCGAGTTCTCACTGGACCCCCTCCCCCTCCCCTTTCCGCGATCCAGCCAGCCCCGCCAAAAATAGCATAACGCTCGTGACCCACATGAAATTCGCGCGTTATTCAAACCTGACGTCATAATTATTTTAATCACCCCGGTCTTACGGCTGTGACCACAACTTATATTCCCACGCTGACCGACGGAGAGAGAGTCGGTCTCTGTCTTCCTCGCACACACACATATACATGCACACACACTAACACACACACACACACCCTCTCAGTCTGTCCCTTTCCTCGGTGGGATCCGAACCTCGGTTTTTCCCTTGCACCCCGTGTTGCTCCTTCCTTCTCGCTCCGCACGCCTCTCCCACACACAGTGCATGCTCTCTCTCGTAATCACCGCAGTCTTTCATAATATAATATTTTAACCTTTTTTCTCCCTCTCTCCGCTGCCGTTTCTTCGTCTCTCTTTCTCTGCGTGCGTGCCGTGCACGCCTGACCTTGGCACACAGACGCACTCACACTGCCGCACTTTGTGCTCTACGCGACGACGGGGACACCCGAACGCCATCTCTCCGGAATACTACACTCTCAGAAATACATTTAAAAAATCTACCATATTTGATGGTTATAGTTTCATTTTCCTTGTCATGTTGAGGACTTAAAAGGTTGCTCAATTAAATTTTTTTTTCTCTGTTTACGAAGTTTTAAAACTGTGACGATTTTAGATTCAAACTTGCAAACCAAAATCAATGACACCTTTGGCTTGACTTCTTTTTTTATTTTGGTTGGGAGCAACTTTCTGAACAAGGCGGCAAGATTTGTATCGTCCGGAGAGTGGCTGGCGGTGCGCATGACAGGCGTGTGACGAGTGGCGGCGACAGCGCGACGCCGCGACACTGTGACGGAGGGCCGGCGAGGGCCGCACCGCGCTGCCCTGGTAACAAGGACCACTGCCTCATCTCAAGCCTGGTTACCCCCTGATAAGGTGTTTCCGTGGCCGGGGATCAGCCCGGCCAGCCAGCACACCGGGCCGGAAGTTCCCCGCGGTCAGTTCCCCTACTTCCGGTTAGCGGTGCCCGTCCGAGCCCGTGAACATCGAAGAATCGCCAGAGCAGCTCCGCCATGGCCGCGCCACCCCCGCCCCGACGGCCAGACCGACACCGTACCGGCCAGCTACACTGCCAAGCGGCCGGGCGGTTCGCTCGGCCCGCGCTACCGTGACACCGCCGACTCCGCCGACACCGCCGACTCCGCCGACGCCGCGGATAGCGACATGACCGGCGAGTTCGGTAACCGATGCCGCGCGAGCCGCCGCAGCCAGAGAAACAACGTGCTTAGCCACACGAGAATTGGTGGAGGAGGAAACAGATTAAAGGTGTCGCCCCTTCGTTCGCGCTGCATGCAACAAACCGAAACAACAACAACAGAAAAAAAGTATCATAACTGCACAAAAAATGAAAACAATTTTCCACCTATTTTCAAGACGTTGTGACTAGGGCAAATTAAATTTTGATTTTAGACTCTTCCGAGCGAAACGAACGCTGATTAAAAATTAAATTAACTAAGCACGCGTTGCTAAAAAGGGAAGTTCGAGTGCAGCGCATACGCGGCGAGAAAATAATAGTGTGTTACGGAAGCTGCACCGCAAAACTATAGGCCTCCGTCACCACCACCGGGTGGCCCGGGGCTGGCCCCGAGGCTTGCCCCGAGGCTTGCCCCGAGGGGTTCCCATCCGTGGGTGCGCAGATTTCAATCTCACACATTATATTCCGCCATTTTTCGGGAATCCGCAGCGGCCTGGCTGGCTGGCGGTGGCCAATGAATGCGGTCCTTCGTTGGCCTTTCTGGTCGCCATTACCATATAATGAGATGGTGGGACTGACGCGCGCTGACGCGCTACCGGCCTTGTTACACGAATATGGAAATGGCGGCGGTCCCCGCGCGGGGACAGGCCGGCGGACCGCGCTGTCATTTTCGTTCCGAACACTTTCGGGCCCGGCTGTACCGGCCTGCACCCGGAGAAAGCAGCGCCAGTTTGCGTGATGATAGCGGAGCGCAGCCGCCGGTAGTCCAACAGCCCCGAAATTGACGAGGCCGATCGGAGGCAGTCAATCGAGCAAATCGATCCGAGAGAACGTCCCAATTATTGGTGGTCGCGGATCGCGCTGTTGTCCGGCGAGACCCGGCGGCTGGACCCGGCTGGACCCGCGCGCCTCTGCGCGCCATCGGTTCACCATTGCGCCACGTCCGAGAGGCGCAAGGCGGCGCCAGGCGATTTGCTAACGTGTCTGTTTCCTGTTTTACCCACTAGAGGGCGCTGCCTTGCCGCCGCCACGGCCGCATCGTATGAGTCCGCGAGGGACGCGCTGATCACGAGCCCTGCCTCCGCCGCCTGGCCGCCTTGCCCGGCCGCCTTGGCCGCCTTGGCCCCGCAGGGATCAAAGCGCGAGGCTTTTAGCGCGGATAGCCAACGGACAGCCGGACACGCAAAAGAACAAACACTGCCAAAACTTTGGTTAAAGCACGAAAGTATTTATTCAGTCATATCAGGCCCTCCGGCTGAAGCACCCTCACCCTGTGACTGCACACCGTCGCGGTGGGTCCAGTAGTTCACGTTATACCGCTAAGCAATAACATTCCCGCGCATCGACAAACAAGAGCGGCTCCTTTACGAGGGAGCTGGGAGATTTACGCGGAGGCAGCGATGAAACAGCGCTAATGCTCGCTGCGATGAAGACATGACGGACTGCTCGTGTGTCCATAAAAGCTACATAATTGTGGACGGCTTCACCTTCGCCGCGATGAATATGTATCGGCGAGATTAGGTGACGCGGTATGGTGATGAGGTCGATCGGCCGATGAGCAGAGCGAGGTGTTCGCCACACGCAACCACCCAGAACCAAACGACACTCCCTCGAGACCGCGGCAATGACAGAGTTTACCGATTATCCGCGAAGACAGAGTCGGGCGGAGTTCACCCCCACACAACGAAAGGCTCGCCTGATTCAATAAGTACAAGAGGGGTGTCCCTTCAGTTTACACCCACATAAGCCCGAAATTATTTTTTCCAAAATCTGGGCTGCAGAGCTGGTCAACCATTTTTTCGACAGATATTTTTTGAACACAAACATTGTTTTTTTTTTCTTCTTTAAATTTTAACCGTGACTTTCTTAAAAGGGCGTAATTTTTCACCTGCAGTAGTTTTTGAAGTGTTTGCGCACGGTGTTTTGCTCCGCATTTTGCATCCTCCCCTAAAGAGCTAAACACCCCTCCGAGGCGGCCCACTCGGCGGGCCGGCCGCGGCGAGGACGGCAGTTAGCGAGCGGGCCGCGCCGGGTAAGTGGCGGTCAAGCTGGACGAGACACAGAATTCCGCCAAAGGCCAGCCGCGACGCCCTTTTTCTCTGGAGCAATCCGAGCCCCAATAAGGGCGAGACATGTGGCATTAAGAGCGCCGTCTCCCCCTTGCATCCTCATTAATACATATTTAGGAGTCCTGGTGTAACGGGACAAAAATCGAACCTGCTGGTGCTTTAAAAAATATCGAAAGTTACGACTAAAATTTAAAAAGAAAACACTGCCCAAAGGAAAATTAAATTTTAAAAAATTTGTCCATGTAAAAAAAAATTGTCTATCTTAAAAATATTTGTCCATCTTAAAAAATTTGTCCATTAAAAAAAAATGCTGACTTTACAAAATTTGAAACTCACCTCTTGCTTCCGCCGTGACGCTCGCGTACGATCCAACGCGGGCGGGCCTCAAAATCCCAGACCCACCCACGACACGGCACACATACACACACTCACACACTCGCACACTGAGCACTTGGTCACTCGGCACTCCACTCCGCACTCCACGCCGGGCCAGGCACGGTGGTGGGTTAATCCAATGGGGAACGCGCTTCACCGGGGCCGACTGCACTACTGATACAGGCAGCGTGCCGCGGTCCTGAGGCGCCTCCAGCCGGCCCCCCTCCAGCTCCAGGACCGCTCCAGGACCCGACCCGACGCAAGGCGCAGCGCGGTGGGGCGCGGCGCAGGCCTCCCTCCAGCGGCGGAGATGCTACGGTCCAGGGCCCCGCCAGGGCCCCGCAGGGGGTCAGGGGTCAGCGCGGGGGCGGCGGGGTCAGTCGGCCGGGGACTGCCCACTGAATTTGGCGGTGTCGCGACGCGTAACCCGCGACCGGTGTGTGCTCGGGAGCGACATGCCGGCCGGAGTGCGAGGGCAGGGCGTGCCGACGCTGGGTATGAAGATCTCCAGCTCCGGGACCTGAAAAAGATTATTAACAGTTCACTGTCGGGTAATTATTTTTTTTTGCAGAGACATCACTACGAAAACCAATGAAATTTCAGTCAATTTCAATAAAACTTTACTAACAGGGCCTAACACAGTCTTCCAGACTCTGCCTTCCCTTCCGCTGTGCTGCACTCTCCACGGCACTGTAAGCCATCGCCGGGCATCGCCCTGCAGAAGCATATTGGGCTTGGCTACCTAATTAAAGCCCCGACACGTTCCCAGAATGACGGGACCTTTTAGGGTTCAGTATCGCGGATCGCACCGCACGTAACACGGAGAGGCCCCCCCCCCCACCACTTCCGTCGCGTATGGCAGTATGGCAGTCCAGATCGCGCCCCAGAGATTCGCCCGCAATAAAGCAAGAATCCTTCGGCGCTCCGAAGTAGTAACAACGAGTTGCGTGAGCCTCGACAAATGAAGGAAGCAGGAACGTAATCAAAGTTTATTGTAGGTTTTATTGTGATTCGGATCGGGAAAAAAAGTTGTGATTTTTTCCTGTGCGGTGAAGACCGTCGTTCGACGCGACATGACGCGAGTATGGCGATATTTGGAGGGTGATGATCACTGTGCACTGTGCGTAGGTCGGGAAGGAGGAAGAGTAATCCGTGGGATCCATCGTAATCGAAAACTACAGGGTGTGGGAGTATCCGACGCAGCTTTGCTCGCATAGCCATGCAACACACCAAAACGTGGGTGCTATTGGTGTGAGATTACGTTCCTTTGAGTTGACCACAAATTACAGACCTGTGACACCTTACAAGTGTTTTCTAATGATTTTATTGTGTGTTAGGGTCTGGACTTCCTACAATGATCCACTTAAATTACCTTTTTTTAAAAAAGAAACACTTTGCATTTCCTGCCTTCCCGTGCGTGCCGCTCCGCCAGGTGTTCCCTTCCTCCTCGCAGCGCGAATCCTCCTACGACACACTCGGCCTGCATCGCGCTGCCTCGACAAAAGGGAGAACACGCACACACACACACACACTCACGATGTGAACGCGCACGTAAGAGGGCGCCCCCACACGCGGATCGATAGCAGGTACCGCGGCTGTCTCTGTTGCACTCTGCCCCGTCGGCGGGCCGACGTCCGGAGCGACGGAGACGGCGATGTCTCGCCTCCCGGCCGCGGCGTGCAGGATTCGAACGGGGAACCGGAGATCTGCTCGACGACCGCTCAGGGAGAGGGGGAAAGGTGTAGAGCCCGGAATCGGAGTGCTCTCGACGACCGTCCAAATGAAAAACGGAATTCAGCTCAGGTGAAACATGCTTTTAGTCGAAATGTCCTTTTTCTAGCAGTGCACGTGCATTAATTCGCCTGGGCCCGCCGCGCTTCGACGTCCCCTCGAGGTCACGGCGGCATCAGCGATTACACCGCGCAATGTTTTGGAGCAACGCGGCGTTGCCGAAATATTGCTGCGTTCGGACGAGACACGCGGCATGCCCGTGCACTCGCCAGCGAAAGACAAAGCTCAACTCTAATCAGTGACTAAAGATGTCCGGATAGCGGCAATAAAAAAGGTCCTTCGTGCCGCCCGTCCCCCAATCACGGTGCAGCCGTCACGCCAATTAGCTTACAAGTCACACTCAGGATGCAGACACGGTCTTCATACAAAGGCGTGCCTGACAATGACTATTCTCCGCCACCACGGCACATCATAGTCTCGCAGGGCTTTTCCAACAGGTGTGTGTCTGTGTGTGTGACATTTGCCGAGTGCCGTAGATCGCCGCGCCCTCTTCAAACGTGACGTGAAAACCGAAACTAAAAATGCGGTGCGACGTAAAGAGTCCGGCGAGTAAGACCGGTCGGAGGGCGTGACGTCGCCAAGGGTCATCGCGACGGACAAGACAATCGTCGGGGTGGTGAAGCGGCACGGGAGGCGCCACGGAGAAGTGCACACGGCGATCTTGGCCGTGGCGCCTACTTCCCCGCATGAAGCGCCAAGACGCCTTGAAAAATTCAGAACGCGGCAGTAGTATGCGACGTCCATAGTGGCGGGTGGCCATGAATAGGCCGCCCATTTTGTTTCACCCGCGAGTTCTCCTCATGTTTCATGGTCGGTGGATGCCTATGAGACCACGGTGGTGTTGGCCGTGGTCGGTGCACCGCCAAAGTGCTGAGGAAGCCCGGTGGACCGCAGCGGCATCGCCAAAGCATCGCCTTTTCACCGACATTACCCGGCGCAGGGCGGTGTAACACTTCCGATTATTCTCACACGTGTTTCCAGCTTGCCGCTGGCCGTCCTGGGCGTCCTGGCCGCGCCATTGCCGTAAGATCCGGCCATTTTCGTGGCCATCCTGGCGAGGCGGTGGGAGCCTGCGGTCCTGCAGCGTGGTGGGCCCGGACGGCCGGGGTGTCTGCGGTCGGCGCGGGAGTGTGGGGCGTGCTTACTACTGGCGCGTGGCGCTGTCGCTAATTCGACCGGCCACTGCTTTACAGTGGGTGGTGAGATGACGGATTCAGTCAAGCCGCCAAGTTACAAATGCCTTGTTTGTATTCACCACAAACATAAGTTTTAAAAGCGAAGAAATTGATCTAATTTTTTAGCGCAATGTCTTACGCCCCGCTTTAGGATGGTCCCCCCATTCCTGTAAATTCAATGCGTCGTTTGCAAAGTGCTACGAGAGCGCCGTGGGCGGGCCGCGCTGGCCGCGTGGAAACGAAGCATCTTTCACTTTCCTCACCCCTTTCTCAGAGCCTTTTTGCGAAACGCGGCCTTCGCCGCCATTGCTAACTATACGTGCCGAACGCTCTTGTATTGTTCGAGGGTGATCCGAGCCGTTTACACAGCCTTGCGTAACGATTCGTAACGGGGAGTCGGAGCGATGATCGCACGCACCAGTGCCACCAGCTTAGTGGCCGGTAATCTCTGTGTTAAGTCGCTCTGTGGAAGCGGCGCCGTGTCGTGCCACGCCGTGCCGCGCCGTGCCGCGCCGTGCCACGCGGAACGCTGACGGGACTCCCGGCAGTCCAGTCTCTCAAGGCGACGACGCCTCTATGCATAGAAGGGCCTGCAAGAAAGGGCAGCAGATTTTAAGAGACCATACTCGACACCCGGAGAAAGCTACACCGCCACGGTGCATAGAGTAAGTTTTTTCTCAAATTGAATAACCGATTCGGTTCACCCTGCCGCTCGCTCGCCGTTCACGCGGTGCCCTCAACTCCCAAGTTTACGAGCCGTTGGACCTGCTTCGAGCTCTGGTCGTTCTGCCTCTCTCGCACCCCCACGGCACGCCCCTCGGTGCGAGAGGGACGGAGCGAGCACTGCAAAGGCCGCGACAAGGAGGCCATGCAGGCCGCGCCGGCGATGTCCAGACCGTCCAGGACGGACGGGGCGTCCTTGTGCAAGACTAGCGACATAATGTGTCTCCGACGGTCTCCGACCTGTCCGAGACTCATGTCGGCCTGCCTCCAATTCAGCAGTGCAAACCGATATTACGCCACGGAGATGAGAAAAGTAAGCGATTGGATCGGGATCGTGGGACGGGGGACGGCGACGCTCGTCGGACGCGGAGTAGTCAGCAGCCGCGGTTACGCGCGCAGTCATCATGGGTAAATGAGCTGTTCAGTGGTGCAAACAACGATACCGTGGATGGCTCTCTCGGTGTTGGCGGTCCTAGTGTACTTACATTCTCGTCCGACGGCTTGTCTATGGCGTGGTGGGTCTGCAGACGACACTTCGAGAATCTATCCTCTTCGGGCACCTGGTCCGCGGTAAGCGCTCCGGCATGAATTAAATCAACGGAAATAGTCAGGGGAGCTGCTTATCAGCTTTGGTGATCAAGGGCATTCATTTCTTGATTACGGATGCGTTGCCGAAACGCATCTAGCGTGGCCTCATCCACCGCGAAGCTTGTTAGAAGCGGGCTGAACTGAAATAGATGTAGGTCAGGCCGCCGCGCCGCGGTCCGTGCCATCCCCGTCGGTCCCCGTCGGTCCCTGTCGAAAGGCTCATGACAATGGCCTCTGCAATCAGCCGCCGATACACAAGTATAGGGCGGCGGCTTGGCGGTGACCACGACCACGTGACCGGAGGGATCATGACCATTCCAGGTGTGCTGGGCCAGGCCGGCCAGGCCGTCCAATGTCACAACGTCTAGACTGATGATTGCACAGCCTTTGTCTCTCCGGCCCGGTTATTAGCCACGTATCGTTAGTCCAAATACCACGCCACCACGTTGTTTGAATGCGCCCGACGGTCACCCCTCTCTGTCGCACTCGCGGGGCATCCCCTGGGGGTGCGAGAGGGACGGGGCGACCGTTTGAAAGCGGCCCGCCAACGGCCCGCCGCGCATGGGGCTGTGCGTCGAGTAAATTGCGACCTGCGGGCGCTTCGCTTCGAGCTTCGAGCTTCGGGTGACATTATTTTTCTCAACTAATGCCACAGATTAGAGCCGCGAGTCGCGCGTGATAATAGAGGGCGAAGCAGAGGCAGTCGTCTAGACACCCCACTGCACCGCGCTGCACCGCGCTGCACTTACTTCTTTCGCCAGAGCAGCCGCGCAGTAAACGCATTTAACGCAGCGGCGGCCCTTGTTGGCGTCGCGCTGTTATTTGAGAGTGTCAGCAGGTGGAATGTTACACGCGAAACGAGAAAAAATTCAAACA